CTCACATATTTAAATCTCACCTCCTTCCCTTGAGTGACAATGCTGTGCATTCCTACTGCTCCTTAGCCAAAACAAATGAAAAGCCCAATTAGAACAGGCAAAAGGATAAAAATAAACCTGCATTTAAGCATACACATGTAATTTCAGATGGCTCCCTTTATAAAGTCCTTGATCTGCTCTGTAGCCCTAGCAAAAAGCCCGATATCCTTAGATAATATTTCATTAGAACAATAACTTAACTTCTACATTGAAGCTACTCCCCAAAGAATAAAGAAAGCAGAAGCTCTGCATTTTCTATTTCCCAACCACCCCAGAGCATACTTTTGTGGAATCACCCCTAAATTTTCCCAGTTACCTTTTTGGGGAAACACAAACCCACACCCACAGCCCTCTCTCGTTTCTCTGCACACACTCTTACTTACACACACTGTCTCCACAGTCACAGTCACTCTCCTCTCCTTCCACTGAAGAGCTCTGTTGCAGGTACAAGGAAAACGGCGTGCCCTGCGATACACAATGGGGCCACTGTCCTGCAAGGTGGAGCCTTGAGTGGGAGGAGCGGCGGTCTTATAAATAGAACTAAAGAGGGGGACCTTTTCTCCCCTGGATCTCTCTGATCTTTCTTCCTGGCCTTGGAACCGGTGTAAATTCCAGACCCTGGCGGCTCTTCCAGTTTGGGAGGGGTGGAGGTTACAAAGGAAGCAGGATGGGGCCAATCCAAAAAGGCGAACGGGGCTCGTGCTCGAGGGGAAAGAGGGGCCCTCGCAGCACAGAAGGGGCAGCCCAGCTCTCCAGGTTAAGAGATACAACTGGGCCCTCGCCGGTTTGGCTCAGGGGATAGAGCGTCGGCCTGCGGACGAAAGGGTCCCAGGTTCAATTCCGGCCAAGGGCACATGCCCGGCTCAAAGGCTCGATTCTTCCCCTCTTCCCCCCATAGGGGGCATGCAGGAGGCAGCCAGTCAATGATTCTCTCTCATCATTGATGTTTCTATCTCTATCCCTCTCCCTTCCTCTCTGAAATCAATTAAAAAATAAATCTATAATAATAAAAGCATAATATGCTAATTAGACCGGACATCCTTCCGGACGAAGCCGAGGCTGTGAGGGAAGCCCAGGTCCCGGGAGCCAGAGGGAAGCTGGTGCCAGCAACCCGGGGAAGGAAGGCCTACTCTTGCATGAATTTCATGCATTGGGCCTCTAGTCAATAAATAAAAGAGACACAGCTGGAGCTGAAGTCCCAAGCGCATAAGGAAGAGCATGTGATCTGCCTGCGGGGCACCTCAAACACAGCAGGTGGCCGGCCGGGAGGGATCCAGTCCTCTGTTCTCAGCAGGACATTCCCAGGCTTCTTTCCCTAACCTTGACTAGCTGTAAAATCTAAATAGGGGCTTCAGCGTTGATTTCCTAATCAAATCTTTAAACAAAAAATTCACCACGTCAAGGTTTTATATGATTGCCTCCATAAAAAAAAAAAACAACAACAACAACAAAAAAAACACCCAGCATGCCCAGCCAGTGTGGCTCAGTGGTTGAGCATCGACCTAGGAACCAGGAGGTCATGGTTTGATTCCAGTCAGGGCACATGCCCGGGTTCAGGGCTCCATCCCCAGGAGGGGGCATGCAGGAGGCAGCCGATCAATGATTCTCATCATTGATATTTCTATCTCTTTCTCTCCCTCTCCCTTCCTCTCTGAAATTAATAAAAAATATTTTTTAAAAAATTAAATAAACCAAGCACATTTCCACAATGCCTGGCCAGCAGGCAGCACGTACCGGGGCATGTAACTGCCACTATTATGTCCTCTCTTATAGCCAAAGCATAAAAAAATGAAGACTATCACAAATGTCTCACTAAGTATGCAAAAACACCCAACTAAAAAAACACCCCAGGTGTCATGGCCCCCTGGAGGGATTTTAAAGAAAATGGGCTACCTTTCTATACTGGAAAAAACACCTGACAAATGAAATACCTTGCTAGGGCAGCAACTGAAGAAGGAAATGTGATTATAAAAGCATCATTCTATTCAGGCTATGATATCCCAGCATAGGCAGACTTCATATATACATACATATATTTACCTACCTATCTATCTATTTCTTTATTTATTTATTTAATTGATCTCAGAGAGGAAAGGAAAGGGAGAGAGAGAAACAATGATGAGACAGAATCATTGATTGGCTGCCTCCTGCACACCCCCTACAGGGGATCGAGCCCACCACCCAGGCATGTGCCCTAACAGGGCATCGAACCATGATCTCTTGGTTTATAGGTCAATGCTCAACCACTGAGCCACAACGGCCGGGCAAGCAGCCTTCTAAAAACATTTTAAATCTTGTTTCTCAACGCGGGGGGACCATCAGAACCACTAGAAGCATTTACAATATACAGGTGTCTGACCTCAGCCCAGGTCGAGGGATTTTAAAGAAAATGGGCTACCTTCCTATACTGGAAAAAACACCTGACAAATGAAATACCTTGCTAGGGCAGCAACTGAAGAAGGAAATGTGATTATAAAAGCATCATTCTATTCAGGCTATGATATGCCAGCATAGGCAGACTTCATATATACATACATACATTTATCTATCTATCTATCTATCTATCTATGTATCTATTTATTTATTTAATTGATCTCAGAGAGGAGAGGAAAGGGCGAGAGAGAAACAATGATGAGAGAGAATCATTGATCGGCTGCCTCCTGCACACTCCCTACAGGGGATCGAGCCCACAACCCAGGCATGTGCCCTAACAGGGCATCGAACCATCTTCTCTTGGTTTATAGGTCAATGCTCAACCACTGAGCCACAACGGCCGGGCAAGCAGCCTTCTAAAAACATTTTAAATCTTGTTTCTCAACGCGGGGGGACCATCAGAACCACTAGAAGCATTTACAATATACAGGTGTCTGACCTCCCAGCCCAGGTCTACTGAACCAGAATCTCTGTGGTAAGGCCTGGATATCTGTATTTTTGGGAAGTTTCCTAGGTGATTCTAATGCCCACACCTAGTTAATTGTCATCGATAAAATGATGACAATTGTTCTTCCATCAAGAAACTACACATAGACCATGAAAGCTCTAGCCTCAGTTTCCTCACTGAAATGAGATGGTTGAACTAGATTAGTTGTGACAAGTGGGTGTCAGCCAAGACACCTTGTGTAACAAGGAAATTTCACTGTCAAACCCAATATTAAAACAAAAGCAGAGCCCTGGCCCGTAAGTCAGTTGGTGAGAGCGTTGTCCCAATGCGCCAAAGTTGCAGGTTTCAACCCCCAACAGGACCAGAATCAACCAATGAATGTATAAATGAGTGGAAAACAAATCGATGTGTCTGTCTGTCTGTCTGTCTCAAAAAGTCAATACATTTAAAAATAAAACAGCCCTAGCTGGTTTAGCTCAGTGGACGGTGCGTCAGCCTGCAGACTGAAGGGTCCCGGGTTCGATTCCAGTCAAGAGCACATGCCCGGGTGGTGGGCTTGATCCCCAGTGTGGGGCGTGCAGGAGGCAGCCAATCAATGATTCTCTCTCATCACTGATGTTTCTATTTTGCTCCCTCTCCCTTCCTCTCTGAAATCAGTAAAAATATATTTTAAAAAATAAATAAAACAAAAAACAGAACTGCTTTGGATGCAGGAAGGAAGGCGAGTTGAGGCTCCGTCTGCCTGTCCATCCCCAGCTCATCTCAACGGAATCAACAAGGCTTCAAGGAGCACAACCTGGTCTCTCAGACCAGCTGCAGCTCCCAAACTCTCTGACCTTCCAAAGCTAGAGCCAGTCACAGCTGGAGGAGCAGAGGACTGCATCTTCTTGTTCAAGAAGTCCTTACAGACTTTATATAGGAAACCAACCCCTTTTATAATAACACACTCCTCTGGTGTCTAACCTTCCATTTAGAAAAACAATTCTCCCCACCTCAATCATCGCTAATCCCACAGTCTCCCGGGAGAGCTTGAAGCTCCGAAAAAAAGCCTGCATTCAGGAGGACACACCAAATGCATGTTAGTGGTAGCCCCAGGGACAGGACGAAGGGGAAGCAGGATCAGGAAGGGGCACAAAGGGAACGCCACCGTGTCTTTTTGAGAGGAAAGAGAAAGATCTGAAAGGGCTAACATTTGTTCCTGCTGAAATACATGCATGTTTGCTGTACTTTCCTTGGACTTTCCTGTAGCGCTTTTTATATTTTCAGAATTAAAAATAAACAAAAAGTCTTGTTTATTAGTCACACTTCAAACATCCATGATTTTCATCAGCCTATGCATCACGAATACCTGTCATTATATCCCTTGCTGGCCTTTTCCGCCAAAGCTCCCTTATAGGATACCTGATCTGTAATTACATCTATCTGCCCCGGGACATTCAAAGGAACAGGGCGCCGGGACAAAAGGAACGAACAACGGATAGCAAATCGAGACTCTAAGAATATGGCCACAAAAGGCTTTGGACATCTGATGAAGCAAAAGAGCAGCTGTACATTCGCTTCACAAAGGATGCAGAGGACGCTGCCTCTGGTAAGCTGTCTCTGAGGACTGCCCAATGAATGGGCCTATACTCGTAGCTCGGCCAAGGAGAGAAGGAACCCAACTCGTAGATAAAGCAAAACGAATGAAGAACTGGTGAGACATTAACGCCCAAGAACTTCTAATCCTAACAATGCTCTTTCTCCCCCAGAGCTGGGAGTGCCTCACACAGGCCCCTTGGGCATAAATCAGAACAACACAAACTTGGACATTTTTCAGTATACAAAAACGTCCACCATACGTCATACTTTAAACAATAAAGAATTTAAAATTTTTTTTAAAAAAATGTCCATCAGTGTTTCATGAATAAACTACCACCAAGGTTACTTGGTCCCATGAATAAACACCCTAACTATACTTATTCCTTCAAACCACCGGCCTCCCGCAGATACGGCTACAACACAGTGAAAGAGACCTTTATCTGCGGTCACATCCTATCGGCTCCCTCCTCCCAATCTCTTTTTCCAGCCAGCCCATCTTTACCTTTTGGCTTCTTCCAAGTGACAAAGGTATTCATAAGCCACATTCTGCCGCCTCCTTTCATCCATCTCCTCCGCAGTGAGTCTCTCATTATCCAGGACAGCTGAAACATGAAAGAATCCGTAACCTTTCTGAGCGATAAGAGGACGCCACATCATCATATTCCTGCTTGTCACTTAGTCAGGGTAACCCGTGGACGTGGGGCGGGACAGGTGTACTAGAATGACTTTCCTAAAACAGGACTATACCTACCTTACCCTTTTTATTTATTTATTTTTAATTCTTTATTAGTTAAGGTATTACAAATGTGTCCTCATCCCCCCCATTAAACCCCCATCCTCCCCACCCCCACTCATGCTCCATTAACATCCCCCCCCCACTCATGTTCTCATCACCCTGTTGTCCATGTCCATTGGTTTGACTTATATGCATGCATACAAGTCCTTTGGTTGATCTCTTCCCCTTGCCCCCCCTCCCTCCCCTACTTTCCCTCTGGGGATTAATAGTCTGATCGCTGTTTCTCTGTCTTTGGATCTGTCCCTGTTCATCACCCTATGTTGTTAAAAAAAAAAAAAGTATGATAATATGAACATGCACTATAGTTTAGCATAACTTGAAAAATAGTAAGTTGACATTTGGGGCCAAATCTGTCCTCGTCCATCCGCCATACTTTTTCTAAATGGAGCTGAAAATGTCGTTCCCCTCTTGTATTAATAACCAAAGCCAGCAGTCCAGTCATTGAGAACAAAGTGGAAGTCATGGTGCTGAGCCTTTTACATGCAGTCTCTCATTGAAGCCCCACAGCAATCCTTCGATGATGGCGCCCATTTTACAGCTGAGGAAACTGAGGCAGGGTGATCTCCACCCCATGCCTAACATGTGGTGGGGCCTGACTTCAAACCCAAGTGGTCTATCTCACAAGCCCGTGTGTGTGAGCTTAACCTCGAAGCAATCCACCTCTTGCTTGGGCGCCCAGGGTCTGGAATAAATTCCTAACTCCTGGGGGTGGCATTCAAGGCCTTGCCCAACTTAGCTCCAACTACTTTGGGAAACTCGCCTCTCCACTCCCTGCCCTTCCTCCCACCACCGTGCACTCCACGCCGTAATCCCCAGTGCCTTTCTGCTGTTCCGTATCTTAGTTTAGCCTCTTCCCTCTTCAAGCCACGTCTATTGCCCCATCAAACTTGACAGCACACTTGGAGGCTCTGTTCCAATGTCACTACCTATGCCCCCCTCCCCCTTCCCCAGGCTGATCCCCACCCAGGCTCCTCTTCATGCCTGGTGTGTCCACGCATCTTTTATCTTTATGACACCTTATTATCACGGGGTGGTACACCTGTCCGTCTCTCTGATTAAAACGTTCTCTGAAGGCAGGGACCGGGTCTGGCCTTTAATGTCACAAACGTGACACAATGCCTCCCGTTTAACGGGGGATGCGGAAAATTACCTTAAAAACTCAACGTCGCTCCCAGAGCATAAAGTAAAATCGAAAACCTCAAGACTCCCAAGGACTCTGCCTGGGCCGGAGGGAGCTATCCCGCCTGCCGTGCAATGACGTCCCAGGGGCAGCTACAGAAAATGAGGAAGTCCGAGGGTTTTCTGGTTTTATTGCTTTTGAAATCCTGACGGAGGAACCGAGCTGGAGAAAGCTGAAGTGACTCGCCCAGGGCCGCACCTTTCGGCTCGCCCAGCACCGGGCAGGTCTGGACCCGGGGTCCCCCTCGCCGGCAGCACTCGGGCAGCAGCTCCCCAGGAAGAACGAGCAGAGCCCGGTCTCGTCCCCGGGACACGCCCTGCTCGGTCCTCCTGCCACCTCACCCTCCTAGGCCGT